TAAGTGGAGACACGTTGTCCATGTACAGGTTTATTTTCATCTGCCAGAAAAGAGCCATGACCCAGTGGAGATGCAGGGCTGGAATAGGCAGTTTTCCAGCTGGGGCTGGTGCTGGTTATGCTCAAGTCTTTCCTGAGCAAACCTTCCCATAAACTCAAATTGACCATTGACAGCAATAAAAAAACTTTGTGACCAAAGTATGGAGCTCAGGGGGCTCTTTTGCACTAGTTCATGGGGGTTTTAGGTGTCAAATCGCCTGATTTCTTTCTTTCTTAAGCTTATCTTTGACTACAGGCAATAAAACAAGCTACAGGTCTGACAGGTCCCGACCTTTACTCATGCAAATATACAAATACACAACTACACGTCGATCCCAACCACAAGGCTTTGGATGCTGAGTTTGGAGAAAACAAGTCCAGGGCAGCTGCCTGATCCCACACCACGTCCAACCTCCCACACCAGGTGCCATGTGGTGCTTACAAGGAGCCAGGAACGTTTTCACATCCAACTTTAAGGCTTCCTTGGAAGGGCCACAGTCCAGGATTTTGTCGCTACTTTCCCTCTTCCACAACCTCCAATTTAGGAAAGGCTATTTCGACACCCTGGCAGGTTGGCTCTTTCTTTGCAGGCAAGTGGTAACCAAACCTTCTCAATCCTCACCCTGAACAGCTCCGCAAGACTTACACGCTGTGTAGCCTAGGAATAGCAGCAGTGTCCCCTTGTGTGCATGCATACGAGGGTGGAAGAGTTCATCTATTAATCTACTTAAACCACAGATTTATTTTCTTTTTGCTGAAAGTGAGCAACTTCCATTGAATCTCCTTGGAAACGATGTCAGGGTCATCTTTCTTCCAAGTGTACTTGAGCTGCTGAACTAACTTGTCCACTCCATCCAATGCACAGCTTATTTAACAAACATTTTATATACATTAAGCCTCCGTAAGTGATCCTGCAGTGACCACAAGAAGTGGAAGCAATTCATCAGTTAGTCAAAAACGTTCAGATCCTTCTCCCACGGATGGAGTTTGCCACTGATGCAACACGCGGGAGCTTTGAACTCAAGTGTGACAAGCACGACCTCAATGAAACTGTACGTCTCCTGAGCAAATAAAAACAGACCGAAAGAGGAGACTCGTAAAAGGCCTAGTGAATGGAAACGTCCATGTGTCTTCAGATCTACTTAACGCTGAGACAGAGAAGAGGAACCAGGAGTAGCTGCAGTTGGATGCACGCAGGACTCAAAATTGCTGCAGGAGATGCTATCCTGACGGTGACATTAAAGGCTCTGCTGATGGTTGTGTGACAGCAACTCTAAGGCTGCGGCCTTTTCTTCCCCCTTTCCTCTTTATCTCCTCTCCTCAAGAACAGCAGCGAAAATCAGCTTTGCTGCGCCTCTTCAGCAGACCATTATTCCCAATATCCCTCCACTCCAGGAGCTGCGCTGCTGCTGCTGCAGTGTGACCACCAGCGTTGTTCTAGATGGCCAATACAGCTGCTGGGCTTTCGTAGTTTCATTTACAACACAAGAACAAATCCATTGTGGACCTACTATCTCGCACTTTAAAGAGGACTTATCTAAGTAAAAGTGTGTGGATCTGTTTGGACCAGATGAAAAGGAAAGCTATGGATGAGGAAGGAAACGAGAACAGTAACAACAATAAAAACCACTTCTATTTATGAAACCATACTGCTTAAATAGAGAAATACAGACTATTGGTAAAGTCCCTTACAATAGATGCAAATTCAGTGAGATCATAACTAGTGATAGGTGAACTGAAAAAGTTTGGAGAACTCAGGAAAGTAAGAAACAGGTTGGAGAATCCTGTGGGATAGACATTCCCCTTTACATTTCTACTACCTCTGGATTTCAGTTAGCGGAAATAAACACTGCTGAAACTGCTGTTTTCAAGCCCAGAAGAACCCATGAATACAAAGGTACATGAAACATGAAAAGGAGTGGGGTTTTCTCTTGGTTTATGCTGGTTTTAAACTCAGGGATCTGGTTCTAAAGATCTCATGACAAAGGTGCATGAAGTCCCTGGCTCCAAACCAGTTCATCTATGACGAGTCACGACATTAGTATAGAGTTCCTCATTTACAGAAAACAGGTAAAATACGTCACAAGTGTTTAAACAAGTAAACTGGGGGGAGGGGGGGGGATCAGTCTTTCTTTGCAGTCAGAAATAGGTAGAAAACACAGACTTTTTACAAAAGTGGTTTTTAATAAATTTGGCAGTGGATCGCGTTGAAATGCAAATTTATCACCAAGAAAAGTCCAGAAATCTGATCAAAGTGTTAGGAAACCCACCAAACCTGTAAAAATGTGAGCGTGCTCATTGGAACTCAACCCCCCGAGAAAACATTCGCATTAACTATATTATTTTTGGAGGGGAGAGGGAGCTGTTTTCCAGAAACCATCATTTCTTAGCTCTTTGTGAGTGCCAGCCCTCCTTTGCGTGCTGAAGAGCACAGCAGGGCTGGAGAAGGTGACACAGAGAACGCTTCAATGAGGTTGTTGCATCCGTGCGAGACGTTTTTCACTTGGTACATGGAAGCGACTGATTTCAATGGCACAGTTTACACCCAAAGGGGGCTGGGTTCTAGTTCTCTAGGAGTTGTACTTTGAAAGGTGTAGTATTAGCCCTCTGGTTCGTTGAGCAAAGACACCCTCCACAATGTGGAGATGGCCAAACACCAGCTGACCTGACGGCGACGTCTTGGATGTAGCCAAACCATTTTCTTTTCCAAACTAAAGCTCAGCTCAGCGCTACAGCATGAAAGTGATGTGCAAACTGTACCTCAAACGCAGTTCTATGACTATGTATATATATAAAAGAATAAGAATACAAATCAAGCATCTGCACTCACAGAAACCATTAATTTAGACCCCCTTAACCCGCCACTCCCTCTTCACCCAGGCAAGCGTGCCCGTTTACTGCAGACACTAACTGTAACTCAAAAATGAGGGTCCAAGCTGAAGCCCACGAAGACAGTTATCTTTGATTACACTTCCTTGCCTTTGATGGTTTAAGGCTATTAAAACGCACCCCAAATTACCTATATGCCATGTTGTATGCTTTATTCTGGGCACAAAATGGCACCCACTACCTCACAGCATTCCCCCAGTGACTTTCGGATGGCTCATGGCAGATTCCATGAGATGTTTGCCACCTCCAGCTATGGAATAGTTTCATTTATAATGCTCATCATACAACACCCAGAAAAAGAAACCAAAAGCAATTCTGCTGTGGCTGGATCTGTTGCTGCAACTCAGCTACTGATGGAAAACTGTGTACAAATTCAGAGTAGCAACGGTTTGAAAGGTGTAGATGCAGCCACTTTTTCTTTTGTTTTTTAACTTAGTTTGGTCCACCTCTTAGTTTTAAATCACCCCTTTTCTGATAAAAGCAAACCAACAAGCTCATCAATGAGCGTTTGTGCTGCTGCAGCCGGTTAGCCCACGGGACAAGAAAAAATGAAGGAAACTGCTGTGTAGGAATGTGAAGAACTGGATATGTTCTGGTTCAATGACAAACTCTGCCCCGACAGATTAAGCTGACGCCAGAATAAGCAGACTCAAACTCTGCTTTTCTCAAGCAGTTCCTCTAAATACCTTTGGAGAGCCTACCTGGGGTGGTGTAAGAAGGAAAAAAAGGCCTCTCCCTCTATGAGAATGCCCACAAGAAAAGGCTGAGTTTCGCCAGAGAACCTGTTCCCAGCACAACCCGATCAAGTGTAAAAAAACAACAACAAAAAAAACCCCAACAAAAAACTAACCCCCAAAAAAAGGCTTTTGCCTACATTTTGGCCATTCTTCACGGAGTAATTCCCCCTGGAAACATCCACCTGCTTCCACATGAAGCAGAACCCCCATTTCTATACTCCTTGTAGTGGTTTCTCTTCCCTCCCCAGGCTAACCTGGAACGGTACATAATTCCTTCTGACCAAAGACAAAATATTTCAGTGTTACATGTTCCCTTTGCTTTAACTTAAAACCCTGAAAGCCCTGTTTCCTCAGCAGATAAGATTGATAAACTTCATAAATATGCCTACCCCAAAAATATCATAAAAACCATGGTTTAACCCAATGATGGGTAAGGATTCTGGGGGCCCTAGGTCTACTGCTGCTATTTAGTAACATGGGACAAAGGACTTGGTCCTTTTGTCTGTTCCCCCAACAGTAACAACCCACCCCATATAAATAAAGCAACCTTGGCAAAGCATTTTTGAGATACATGGATGAAAAGCACCTGTCTGCTGAGTGATATTATTATCTTCATTACTATTAATTATTATTAACAACTCTGTTACTGGTTACACCAGGTGTAGGTGAGCGGTTCTGTTTCTCCCGTTGGGTTTGACCTGGTTTGTGTTCACCTTTGGACAGTCAGAGTCCAGAAGGGATTCTTTTCTTTTCCTGCCCAAAACCAAAGTCCACATGAGCAAGGGAACATCTGAAGCACCCGGAGGCCAGGTGCTTTGTTTCCCCTTGCCCCTGCTGCCTCCTGGTTTGCAGAATTCAGATTTACACCAGTGCCACTGCACTAAAACTTGCTTGGATGGAGAACTTGGGAGCAAGTATCTCTAAGCACATAGCATCAGGAGCAACCTCCCCACTCACACACAAACCACAGGCATTTCACTTAAGTAAAACAAACCCCCAAAACCTAAAGAAAACGAAAATAAAATAAAAGAGTGAATCATGCCAAATGCTGCAAATGCCTTCCCAAAGTCCTCCTCTTGTCTGCGTGACATGATCCCAAAGCCGTGCTTGGAAGGGACAGCGCTAAGGCTTTTCACCCCCAACTTCTCTGCCCCCCCTGCAAACTCTCTGCTCCAGCTGCCCGGCTCTATCTTTACTCAGGGACTGTGCTAAATGTAACTGTCCCCCTTCCCTAAGGAGGCCCTGAAGCCTGTCGTTCACCACAATTGAACCAGAGGGTGGCAATACTACACCTTTGCAAATTCTCTTACAACAAACAGCATCATTTTAGTTTAAGCACATCTCTCAACAGAGCTCCTTTTGTGTGTTCTGTAGGTTACCCTGCTCCCAACCATACCAGCACCTAAAATTGCTTTCTGAGACTTGAATGTATTGCTGGCAAGACAATCAATTCAAGTGGTAAGGTGTATAATATTCGAGATAAAGATATATATATTAAAAAAACCCAATACTAGTAAATTCCTGTAATATGTCTAGTCTGATATGAAAGCTCTCCCTCTACAGGGAGGCATCTGCTGTGATTACCTTACAAAATATTAAAAAAAAAACCACACACAAAAAATAACTTTCTCTGTGAGAAATAAAAATAAATCCTAGTGCAAATATAAAGCTCTGTAAACCTGGTCCTATAAGAATCTATGGTTAGTAAACGGCAGTTAAAGCAGGTTTCTCCTCTCACAGAGAGAGCTCACATCATGGTTTCCACAATGATATGAGTTGGCTTGATCAATCCGCCATTCGAAGTTCCATTGGGGCAGAACGGGGTGGCACTCTCTGTTTCTTTGGACCACCGATTCACCTCCTTGGGGGCAGCCACCGCTTTTATCCTCTGAAAGAAAGGGAGAAAAGCCAAGGTGAGAAGACCAAGGGGCCCCTGTGTCTCCGTGTACAGGATGGAGGACGTGGCAATCCAAGGTTGGGGATGGTGGCTGTCAGAGGCGTGCGTATCGTTGGGGTTGGAAGGGACCTCCAGAGATCATCTAGTCCAGGTAACACGCTGAGTGGCTCTACAAGGACCACGGGACCCAGGCTGTGGAGCACTGCGTTCAACTACTTAGCTGCAGAGCTTGACTTCAGGCAGGCAAGTGAGACAAGGGCGGGCATTCACAGCGTTACCCAGCATCCTGCACGTTGGGCTTTCAGCGCTGCAGCTGCTGCTCATATGCTGCGTGTTCTCTATCCTCATTTAGAAACAGCTCTGCCTTTTAGCCCAGCCGTTCCTTGCCAAGTGGCAACTTCTCTCCTACATCTCAGTTCACAAAGGAAGAACTAAATGGCATCTGACCAGTGTTTACTTTCTTTTCCTAACATAGACTTTGAGGAGTGTTTTGGCTACTTTTAGACTTGTGTCTCAATAGATGGTGACAATGTAGGCAGGAAAATAAACACTCAGGCTCTGGCCACAGCTGAAAAAGACCATTAATACTTGGAGGAAAACAAATGCAAGTGTTTGTGCTCTGGGAAATGTTGGGGTTTTTTAATTCTCTTCTCTCTTTTTCCCTAACCCGAAGCGTCCCGCTTTCTCCTCCAAGAATACCCTGGGCTGCATTTACGACCATCTCATTAGGCAAAAACAAAACTAATCTGAAACCTTAAAAGACAATTGTTCAGTTTCCTGCTTGCACAGTGTACGAAAACTTTCCACTGGCAGAAAACCAAGCCAGGGGAGCCCACGCTGAACCCTGCCACAAAGGGTAAGAGATAGATAGGCTGCAAATGCAAAGCCAGGAGAATCTGCACTGTCACGTCTGAATCCCACACGAAGTTTTCCAAGACTCAGAGCAATCTGACTTTGATTTGATTCATTGGGAATTAAAAAAAGTAATTAAAAAAGCTAAAAAGTGAAGCCCATTGGGTAGGAGGGTTTGACTTAGGTTCAGACTCCCAGAGCAAAGGCCATGCCCTATAGCCACACAATCCACAGAGGGATCTGAATGTCCCTGGGATTCAATGAGCTCTTACACAGCCAGGTTTGACCCAGCTCTGCCTCTTGTTTTCTCAGTGTTTGTCAGGATGGTGCTTCCTTGTCCCTGCGGGCTGCAGACACGAGATCTGGCACTCGAAACACCCCAGTGCTTGAGCACTTGTCTGCACGTGGAGGCTACAGTTTGCCAGCTGGGAACTGCAGAAGGACACAGGTAACATCACTGGGTGTTTATCTGAGGACAGAAGGCTTCATATTTGTTCTGTCTCTAATGTTTGCCCGAAGGACAGGAGATCTTTAACAGCCTTATTTGCATTCACTGCAGGAGAGCCAACTCTGTCCTACCTGGACGAGGTGGCAGTTTTCCAAGCATTGTGCTTATTTTGTATAAAAACACTGCAAGTTAAAGCTCTGTTTCTCCTCAAGACAGACAACCAGCTCCTCTTACCTCAATGAGCGACCCGTCTGACTGTATGATGCGGATGACCATCACCATAGGGATGCAGATCATGGAGGAAAGGGCAAGAACCCAGCCCAGGCCAATTGCCCAGTCTGGGTATGTGTAGACCTTGTTGTAGGTCAGTGGTTTGTACTTGGCCAAAGAAAAGATAAAGCACCCCTGTGGATGAGAAAGGAAAACAACGTAAGGCTCAAAAAATGCCGAAGCAGTAGGATTCTGCTGCTACCACTGGCCCTAAGGAAGAGAGGCAGTGAAAGGCAGAGCTGATGGATACCATATGTGTTTTAAACCAGTGGGGGAATTATTCTTGCATTTGAATTAGTGAAAGAGCATCTGCATCTGCTTACACCATCTGCTACTTGACAACAGAGTGTGAAGCGACGGTGCTGAACAGCTGCAGTGCTGCCTGTTCGTTTTCAGGGCTCAAATATTTGCTGTACATTGCAAGGAGCTTACCAGGATGTTCTTCCCAGTCAATGAAATACTTGAAGCTGAGTGTCTGCCTCAGACTGCTCAAGTTTTTTTGTCAAAATGGCCTAGAGGACCTATCACTGAAAGTAGGGACTGCTCTTTGGAGAGTGTATTTTCTGTGTCAGGAAGGTAATACTTAGTCAGTCCTAAGAAACATCCACTTAAATGTAGGCAAGTGCAATTTGAGCAGGCACGGGAGAGAGCTGTCACGTTAACAGCTAACATCTGAGAGTCCAGCATCTCCTCTCTTTGCAGATTGGTCTCTGAATGCAACAGCCTTCACTTGAAAGAGAAGCAGTAAGAGGTGGCTCAGAGCTGCCACGAGGAACATGTGAAAGAGCACAGGTCAGCACTCACCACACAAAGAACTGGTGTGATCACAATCCAGCTCCATTTCATCCAGGGACCAGGTCTGTATCCAATCATGTCCTCAATGGCATCATAAATATTATCAGCGCCTGTAATGGATAGTGAGAGCATTTATCAGAGTTGAGCACAGAAAAGCCACATAAGGACTGAAGGATTACAGCTGCTTTCCTATGCTCCTCTCAAGGTGTGTTTAAAGGGAATGAAGATGTCAGATCCATTGTTCAAATGTTTCCTGTGACTAGGAAGTTCAAGATGATTTTCTCCTTGAGAAAGGTTGAGGGACTCTCTCATCCTACACCTCCCTATTATTTGGATGCTAATCCCTCCTGCCCCCATCACACCCCAACTTCTCTCCCCAGCCTCTCTCTGAACTTGCCAAAGAGACCACCATGAGAAGGAGATGACAGCAAACAATACACCCTGCTTCTACAGAGATCTGACTGATGGAAAATGAAGGCTACGTTTGTTCTGCTGTTCTAAGGAGATGGAGTACATGAAGAATCAGGGGAATGACCAGCCCTAAGCAGCAAACATCATCTGATCGCTCCTCAGCTACCATCTCAGACAGCTACAGAGGCTACTGTCAGACCCTGGTACTCGGCATCACCTGAACTGGGACAGCACACACTTTTCTGTCAGCTTTCTGTGTTCTCTATGTGGTTGGTTTGTCCCTCACAGCTCTGAAAGGAAATTCTCTGGGCGACAAACAGAGATTTTCACAGCTGGCCAAACTTTCAACTCTCATCTCTCAACACATGCAAATGCTTAATTGCGCCTTTATTAATTAGCAATGGAAAAATACACCATTTTTGTGTGGAAAAACACTGGAGGCTGGCTTCATCCCAGATGCAAATTTGCCTCCAAGAGGTCAGCATAAGTTTATATTAATGGCATGTGCCTGTTGCTGGGAAGAAGATTCAGGGGTGGCTGATGACTAAATGTTTGGCTAGTAAAACTGTCCCTGACTCATCAAAAGGTATCAGATGAAAGGATTCTCACTTACCATAAACCCAGGCTACAGCAATACATTCAAAGAATGCAACCCACAAAAGGCATACACCACTAGCTGCATAGTAGTCAAAGAGTTGAAAAACATACATGCCACCCTGTAAAAGAGAGACACAGCGGGTTAGGATCCAACAGGGAATGAAAATGAGTACTTCAGGCCCAGCTCCCAGGAACATCAACCAACATATCTTAACGACTGCTGTCTAACAAGAAGAAATATCATGCAAGTAAATAAGGTAAATATTTGGCATTACCTTCCCTGGGGAATATGTGTGTTTACTACAGGAAGTATTCCAAACAAGACGACGATTAAACAGAACTAAGCCACTTACTTAGTACTAATCTACTGAGACACTTAAATCTTTCCTTCTTACAAGTATTTTTGGATGGGCATTTATAGAAACAAATGATGTCAGGAATTAATATGTCGCCTCCTACCATTAACGCCTCCAAAATACTAAAAATGGAAGTCGGTTCATCAGGAGGGTCTGCATTTATTCACTGAGTGGAAGGACTTTCTTCATGGGAATAGTTCATATATATATGCACTTTGACTTGGAAAACCCATCTTTGTTAGGCACCCCTACAGGTCCTGGTTTAACTCCCACAACTGTGTTCCTCCAGTTGTTTTTCAAAGCTGGCTTGGGTTTTATTTTGGAGATAACCATCACAAGAGTGCAGCCACTGGAACATGCTCCCATCTTGTTTATACTAGAATAAATCCAGTGGTATTTAATTGATTCAAAGCTGTGTAACTAAGATATTCCCTGCATGCACTGGATGGCTTCTTACTCTGCTCTGCTGAAGGTTCCCAATGTGTTTCATCATTTAGAGCCAGATATTAATATTCACACTTGTGTTGATTAGGACCTGAGATCAGATTGAATTTAATGAGATTTCATGTCTCTCTTCTCTGACTGAAAAGGGGAGAATCTACAGTTCCCTTTCAAAATGCTTTCAGATCTAGGGATGAAAGGTGCTCTGTAGGTCTAAAGAGCACCTCTGAGGGGCTAATTCTGTGCAGTCTCATTTATAGCTGAAACTGGTCAGAAAACTGGCTAAAGAAGAAGGGAGTGCTACTCACCTCAGTCACCATAGTTAGTCCCAGAAGATAGCTAAGGAAACACACTATAGCGATGAAGATTTCCCGTCGGTAACCCTTCCTTAGGAAGGATGGGTGCAGATCAACTAATGACGTGATCTGTCCTTCAACTTCAACAAACTAAAGGGGAAAAACAACAACAAAGAAACATGACTTGAAATTACACACCACGCATTTTATCCAGGCTCATACTGGAACTAACACGCTACAGTAACACCCTAACTGCACTCGGTGGCAAAAAGCTGCTCTGAATATGAACCCCAGAAGCCATTCCTTTGTAAGCCAGAGGTTGAAGCGTGGGGGTAGTTTTCAGGTTGGAACAAGCTTTCAGAATCGCTCTTCATTTCCTAGCAGCCTTATGAACTACCAAAGGGGCTCTGTACATGCAAGCCGCAAGGAGAAAGGAAGTTAATTTGATGACAGGAAGGCATTTACGTGGCTTTTATGTTGTAGCTGTTCCAGATAAACAACAAGATGTATGCGAGAGAAGAGGCAGAGAGAAAACACTCCAAAAAGCCTAAGCTAGCAGAGTACCTCGCAGCTTTCTTTTGATGTGCCAGAAAACATCACAGGTACTAGTTAGGTTAATTCCACAATTGGATGTAATTCTACTCTTGGGTTTGCGAGTGAAAATCCAGCCAAGGGAAAGCAAACTTTGATGTGAAACAGCAGCTCTTCTTGACTGAACTTGTCTTTTCTGAACCTGTGAGCAGAGCACCTCTGACTGAGGCTCTGGGGGGCTTCTGCAGCAATAACAGAGCTGTTCATACGCTCCCCCCACCAAAATTTAGTGACCTATTTGCATCTGTAAAGCAAAAATGAAGCTCTGAATAGATGAGCTAAAATTCTTACTTTACCTGGCTTCATTATAAAGTGTATTTGTACTTACTTGACATTGGAAAACTACATACAAGACGTGTAACTGGAGTTAACCAAATAACCCAAACCAGATTTGAATGAAAGTTTCAAGTTAATTGCAAACCAGATGCATTTCACCCGTGGAGAAAAGTGACGACTGAACTCCCCCCAAACAAATCCAAAGAAGGGATCATTCAGCTGATCTGTGCTTTCAGCCTGGCAAGGGACAAACCACCAAATTCGCTGAGGACATGACCATGGAGAACCAAGGCTTCCTTAGTAGAAATGATCTTCCCTTTCAGTGGATACATCTTATAACTAAGTTATCACGGGGAGACTATCAAATAGCATTATTTCACGCTGTGTTTTCCTACCCAGCATCTATATTGCTCATACAGTGCCCCGTAGCAGCTCTACCCTCTTTGACCATGAGCTGAAGCTCCCTTTTGACATACAGACTGTCCTGCAAAAACTCTACCAGATTCTGCTGCTCCTGTTTCCTTACTTTGACTTCTATAAACCTGGTTTTCTTTTTCAATGCAACCCTTTCCTTTGGGCTGATTTGATCTTCAACTGCTCTGGCATTCCAGAAACCTGCTTGACTGCACTCCAAAAACCCCAGCAGGGTGGAGGAGGGAAATTAAGCGCTCCAATTAGTTTTAATCATTCCACGCAGTGAGGAGCTCTTTAAAATTAGCAGACAGCTTTCCATTTACATGAGCACAGGGTGGCTGAACCACGGCATCGCGCACTTCTGCAGTTACTGCGGAGTGATTGAAAGTCACTTGCTGGAGTTCAAAGATTAAGCCCTAAAGAGCAATTTAGGGCAAATGGAATATAAAAAGTGGCACAGATAAAGCACACATTTACAGATTTACAGATCTCGACTCAGCCAAGAGAGCATTTAGGCTAAATGAACACTTCATCCTTACCAGCCTTTCATCTTAGTCACTCTCCATGTGAGTGCAGGAAGCTGCCTGTTACCCTGAAAACTTGGGCAATTTTGAATCTGCAGTTACCGCATAATCCCGGCTCACCCGTGTTTCCTTGTAAGTGGACTATCTAGAAATGATTTACAGGTTCTTTGGCAGGATCTAGTCCAACATTCCTATAAACAACTACTGGGAAAAATAACCTCACTTCTTGGATTGAACTTTTTGCTTTCTTCACATTCACTAATTAATAGCAACGTGTGCTATATAATAGTACAGCTGGAACCTGAGACACTTTCTGGCCTGTTCTGGAGGTACGGAATGCCTACTGTTGACGTGGAAGTCAGCAGGATCCCACATTGCTCAGCACCTCCAAGCCAACACCACCAAAAAAGGCTGTGGCTTTGTCCTCTGACTGTTCAGGGATCCACACTAGATATAGCTGAGGGGAGACTTAGATCAGAAGAGTTCTTAGGCAGAAGCTCTTCCCTGTGAGGGTGCTGAGGCGCTGGCACAGGGTGCCCAGAGAAGCTGTGGCTGCCCCATCCCTGGCAGTGTTCAAGGCCAGGTTGGACACGGGGGCTTGGAGCAACCTGCTCTAGTGGAAGGTGTCCCTGCCCGGGGCAGGGGTTGGAGCTGGAGGAGCTTTAAGGTCCTTTCCAACCCAAACCAGGCTGGGGTTCTACGATTCATCTGCACTAAAAAGCAACACAGATGAGCTTCCCTTAAGCAGCATTAGAGTATTCTCTTCTTAACTCATGCCCGTAAAACCAGCTCTTCTCTGTCAGCTGGGCTGACAGAATAAGCCACACATCTCTTACCCATGGTACTAACCTGGCTATCCAGTCCAAGCAACAGAAGCATAATAAAAAAAAGGATTGCCCAAAAGGTGGGCAACGGCATCATGGACACAGCTTTTGGGTAGGCAATGAAGGCCAGGCCTGGACCTAGAGAAAGAGAAAATAGGAAAGGGGGAAGGGAAGAGAAATAGTAAACACCAGCTCTTGGGTAAAGGTAGCCACACTCAAATGAAGGAATGCCTGGTTCCGTTCAGATAAATCCAAACGCGGCTGGAAATACCAGAAGTGAAACAGTTTGGCTCTTTTATCTGAAATCGAAGCACGCATGACTACAGCAGAAACCACAGGCAACCCCCCAAGGCCAGTGCTAACAGATCACCAGTTTTAACATCTGTCTCAAACATGCCAATAATGGAGGTGGTCCTACATCTGCCCCAGACACAGGACAGCACTGGGGGCCAGGGGAAAAGGGGTGACCCAGGGGAATGGCAGAATCCCACTGCTAGCCCACATGGTCACGATGAGGATGATGATGATGAAACTCTTTTGCATGCAAGGAAGGGGACTCTGCTCCAAACACTCCCTGGGATCTTCACTAATGCAACCACTGTCTTCCTCTGTATGCAACCTCCAAACCCAGCATAGCTGTTCTAGAGAGGGATTTGCTCTCCAGGAGTCTGCTCCTTCACTTCTGCAAACTCCCACTGCTGCACTGAAGTGACCAGGCTACTCCTAGTTATACTGGCTGTGGTCCCTGAAAAAAAATGCTTCCTGCTTTTAGGAGTTGCTGGTGTGTAAAATAGCTGCGTAAAATCGCTTCCCCACACTGTCACATCATCTGCCCCTATCCAGCCAGCTACGGTCACAATGAGCGTGACCAACATCAGCCCCAACTGCAGGATGGATTGCAACAGTCTGGGAGCACTAGTGGGGCTGGGACAAAGTGCTCTGGAAACCAAAGCCTTGTGCGTGGGAGCTCATCACTAGCCTGGGTCTCATCTGCGCTGTGGACCAGATGGCATCTCGCTCACAACCCACAGCCCGAGTGTACGTGCAGTGCTCTCACGTGCTGACCTCCAAAGGTGCTCTCACCTGAAGTCACCTATCAGTGAGGAGAGCTTCTGTCAAGAGAGAAAGAGCCCTCTCCAAGTGGGAGCCAGGAACCCTGCCAACCCATTTACCACAGGCGCTCAGAGGGGCCACAGAAATCTGGTGAAGTCAACAAAAAACTTCTAAGGGCAGATTTAACTTCAGATTAAACCCGGGAATGCTGGCTCATCTGCTTGTTAAGGAGCTTGAAAACTGGCATTTTCCCAGATTTTTAAGTAGATTCACGTAATTTTCAGTGGGAAAAGGAATTCTTTCAGAACTGCTGTAGTGCAGGGATGGAAACCTTATCTCTGCTCTGTCCACAAAAATCTCTAACCCTGCTCTTCCTACCTCCCACTTTTTCTTTCCAACAAGAAAGATGGAAAAAGAAGCAAGAGGTAAAAAAAAAGATGACTTTTTTCCAAGCTAAAGAAAACTTCAAGTCACTGAAAAGATTTGAACAGAAATAAATACAAATTAGCCAACAATCAAGCAACTAATTTTATTTCAAATGAAACACAACTAAGATTTTATATGACAGAAGATACCAAAAATTTGGCGAATGTTTCAAATTTGGGGGGGCTTTGCTTTTTTTCCCCCCTAATTCAATGGAGAACTGCTACCAGATGGCATTTGCAGCTGATCTATGCAACTGCTGAGACCAATGTGAAACTGCCCTCCTCAAATCCTGCTGCAATTCTGCATGCTTTGGCTACTGAAACTGTCCTTGCACTGTGACACCATCTAATACCAAGCGGCCTAAGCCCTGTGCTGGCTTTGATTTTCCTTGGGAAACTAAGTGCTGAAATATAAGAAGTCCACATGGAAGAAAATGTTCCTGGCATCCCCTTGACTGAACATAAATAATCTCAAAAATCACATTTAATTTGAAGCTCTGCTGCTCTGAAGGGTGTTTTGCAGAAGTGAAGCACTTGTGGCTCTTAAGAGCTAATAGGGATTTGCCATATCCCCCCCCAGCCGCTGCTGTGGCATGGCTGGAGAGCAATGCAGAGGCAGGACCGGGCAGGCATTAGGAAACCCAACAGTCAGAGCTGCTTGATCTGAGTTTGTCTGCAAAAGGGATTTAAAAATTAGGGGAAAAAAAGGCCAATCTTGTGCTGTTTTAACACTGCTACAAATTGTGTGAGTGGGAAAGGATTTCTTCCAGCCAAAGAGATGCAGCACAGATTAGACAGGACTCGCTGTGGCTTTGCTGAGCCTCCCCTGCTTTCCTCTCTGCCTTTAAAAGTACTGCTGAAAAAAGTAATTAAAATTATTAATCATTAAAAAATTATTAAAACTCTGTTTTCACTGGGAAGTCAGAGGGCTTGAATTTAACAAAATGAAACCTATCAGTCAAAGCCAGGGAAGGCCAGCAGCAGTGACCGGGGCTTTAAGCAGGACAACTGTGTCCTGGGCACATGGCACCGAGGCTGAATTTGGCCCAGGTGAAAAATGTGGCCATGAGATTCTGCAGTCAGCAAGTTTGTGGAGGTTGCCCTGGCCTGCAGGGGGGTAAACAAGGAAACAAACAGTGTCGCACACAGGGCAGGAGGGATTTAACTTGCTGGGCAGAGATGGTGGGAGCAGGAGGTCTTGGTTCCGTGGACAATATCTTCTCCCCAAGCGCTACAGCCAAACGGTAGCGTCTCTGCTCACCTTCTTCCTGACCCAAGGCAGGGATTCTGACCTTGCATGGGAAGGAACCAAAAAAAGCAAGACCAAGAGAAGAGGCTCAAGCACCTGCTGAATGTCTCTGTGCTGAGAAGTCAGCAGCAGAAGTGAGAGGTTCCACCATGGCCCTGTGCGGGTCCTGGGATGCTCATCCCAGGGGGACCAAAAGGTCTCCAGGGGCTCTGTGCTTGACCTCTGCTGAGAAAGGCAGCGAGGAAACCCATGGGAAGTGGTTTAGATTTGAACAGTTTTGGTAATTATTACTGTCATGTAAAAAACATCCTTAGGGATTTAGCCAAATACCAGTCAGTGATGATGGGCAACCCACTGAACAGGGAGATGGTTGCAATCTCTGGCCATCAGTGACTAGGGCTGAACTTATATGAGGCAGAAAACCTGAAGGAATCGACAACAAAATATACAAGATATCAAACACCACTTTGGAAGCCAATCAGTGCCCTCATCCCTATAACAAGCTGTAAAATCCCTGCTTTAAAAAAATGCTTTTTGAGCTGTTGAAAAAATGCTGTGTGAACACCAAGTCTGTTATTCTGTATTTAAACATTGCTTAACAATCCAGTGTTACTACAGAACTGTTTAATTCTGAAAATGGCAAGCAAAAGGAATAGAGCTGCCTGTTTAGCAGAGATTTAATAATAAAAATGAGAATAAATATTGAGCAGATAAAAACCTAATGTGAAAATACTTAAAAATGCTGCTCTTGGAATTGATCCACCTATGTATGTAAAAACCAAAGGGGGGCTATTTATGATTCATTCAATAGGATTATGCCCTTGCTTCCTGTTTTCAGACACAGCAATCAACCTCTGATCAAAACAAGCATTATGGCCAAGGCCATTAACTAATTGCACTTGTGAGAGGGATGCCAATTGCAGCCACCCAAGACTCCGGTGGTGCCACCAATGCCATCAGTTGATCATTAGCCCTTGTAAAGCAAGATGTTTTTCTTAAGGACTTAACTCTCAGAGCTATAAGATTAGAAGAAAGATTGACTTTTTCTTTTAAATTACATGTCTGCAGAGGAAAGCTTTTGAATACTGTGCAGGTGAAGGAAAATTGCTCTAAAAACTCAGAAAGAAATGCCAAAAGAGGACTCAGGTGATATCGTTAAACCTGATTAGCTTTAAGCCTCCTGGCTCTCGAGGCCTGACTCATTATTTCTGAATGGTAATTCCCATCTAATCTGTCTGTTCTACATGAAAACACATGATTACACCTGCCCTCATGGACAAGACATGCACAGAGGCAAAAGTGTCATCTGTTTTGTCTGAGATACATCCACATGCTATGAGGATTTAGCCTTCTGCTGCTGCCTGTGAGTAGCTGAACTTAAATGAGAAGAACACTTCTGAATAAGGGAGGAACCTACGGGTACATCCAGTTTCAAAACGGACTTATCTGTCAACCTCACCCTGAAGCTACGGAGGACAAAGGCAGGATTGCAACAACTGGAGTTCCTGTGGATGAAATGGATCCACAGAATCCAGGAGATAGACTTCTCCAGCTTCTCCTGCCTTTCATTAAAACCTGGAAATACATGTATGTATGTCCCTTCAAAAGATCGAGGTGACAATCCCACTGCAGAGCAAGCAAACTAAGCTCTGAAAAACACATAAATACCTGCTACTTGCATTTGAGTGAAAAGAAAGGTAGTCTGAGAAGAAGGATGGAACAAACTGTCGAATCAATGACATTCTGGACCCTAGAGAATGGTGTGGTTATCTTAACTCTAACCTCAACTCAGATGGATGAGCACGCTCTAGGAAATGTGTCATTGCCCTGTAAATCAAGACAGAGTAAAGCATTCAACCCCGGCTAACCCTCGCTGCTCTAGAGCCAAGCCCAAATCAACAATGTGCTTATTTTATTTCTGGAGATTATGGGAAATCTTGTTCTGTTGTGGTTTTTATTGCTTAGATGTTAGCTGATTGAGTCTGCAGAACTTTGCTCACACGCTAGGCGGCAGTGCCCACCACCACTGCCACCAACACCATCGTACCTGACTCTGCCACATCAGCAATGTTCACCCCTTGCTCTTGTGCCATGAAGCCCAGGACGGAAAAAATTGCGAAGCCAGACACAAAACTGGTACCACTGTTCAGGCATCCCAGCAGCAAACAGTCCCTAAGTCACACATATGTCATGGAGCAAGTTAATTAAAAAAAAATTAACCCATTGTCCCTACTTTATTTACATCATTTAGCTAAAACACTAAACCCCCTTAGATGGAAACTTGCCTATAGCAGTTGTATTTGTATTTGTTGTAGCTCCCCAGGGAAGTCATTGCTCCTAAGCAGATTGCATATGAGAAGAAGATTTGTGTCCCTGCATCTATCCAGACCTAAAGGGAAAGATGGAAAGACTGTTATTACCGGCATCGTTGCGTTGCAACACTCAACACAAACAGTTCAAACCATGCAAAAATCAACACTATAATTGCTTCCATTGAGGGTGATAGCTAAAGGATCAGGGAGAGAGGGAAAGAGAACATCACATTTGCAAGTTTGGCTTCTACAGGGAAAAGAAGATTGTTAGCATCAGAGCCCAAAAGAACATTGTCTCTACAACAGTTGCTCTATCCCCTCCCCAGAGATGCTCAGTATTTCGAGTTTCTTAAGTCATTCAGCTGATCCTTCCTGTTAGAGCAACAATAAATGTGTTTCAGTGCAATAGGAAATGCAAAAGTATTTATAACATTGCTCATTTCTGTGGTAAGTCGTTTCAGTTAGAACCAGCTGACAGAGTCACTAACTGAGGATGTGAAAAGCTTGAGAAATGGATTTGTGTATTGGGCTGGTTTATTTTTCTACCTTTCTGGCTGGTTTTGTACCTGTTCAAATGCAAGATAAAAAGCCAGGGGTAGGGGGAAAACAAGCAAAATACAATGCACTTTATAAGATACGTATCTCATCTTGGCCTCACAACTCTTTCTCCTGATTACATTACAAAAACATCTACAGAGTGAAATAACAGTACACTATCAACTTCTCAGTAAATACATAGCAAGCTATCAGAATGCATGCAGTGAATCCCATCTGTTCTCTTCTCCCTGCTAATGCAACTCTGCTAACACCGGTAGGAATCGCCAAGGAATCCAAGGAAGTGAGAATTAAGCTGTAGAGCATCACCTCCTCCTTCCCACCATCGCTTTCCAGCACCTTGCTGACTGGAGATGATGCTTTTGCTAGACCACAGGAGGCCTGAACAGCTCCCATGAATCCCTTACACATTATCTGCTGATGCTTCGGGCTTAGGGCTAATAATAGATCATAAAAATAACAGTCCCATAAAAGAAGCTTCATTCATAAAATATAATATCTGCTGTGAAGAGGGTGTTTGGTGTAAAAAGGGCAAGACTAGAGAATGAACCACGTTTCCACAGTGTTTCTTCCAATTACACTTTTCCTACCTCAGATATTTAGCTGTCACTGGAGTTTTATTTTAACCAAATACTCATTAGAAAGAAATAGCAAAGACAGACGTTGTTGCCTCTCACTGTAAGCAAGTTCTTTTAAAGATCCCTTGTTTTCTTTGTTTTAGGGGGGTACTACATATTTTGATTTGCATTTCTCACATGATCACTACTGGTTGAAATGTTGCTGGTCTGCTCAAGTGTCATATTTGCACCCTGTGAGCACAGAGAGGAATCGATCTAATCACAGCCTACACAGAAAGAGTAAGCGCAGCTCCCACCAGGCAGGGCTAAGCGATGGGCAGATCCTGTGCCTCAGAAAGCATTTTTCTCCCCCTTTGAATGGGTTTTCATTCTATTATTATTTCATTCACTTCTTTCCCAGTCTCCTCCTATTGAGCAGTGGGAGGTAAGTGATGCTGGTACTCACAGTTGTCGCTTGTTGTTCCATCTGTGAAGCTCACGTGTGTCTCCTTTGAAACTAAAGACTATCCTCATTAAAAAAATGCATCTCCCTTACCTTACCCACAAGAAAGCTGAGATTGTATAACGGGACAGAGTCTACAGCCTCAGAGTCCTTCGACACAAAAAAAAATACACACGCATACACACACATACGTACACACGGAAAGATGCATTAACACATATAACAGTGACCTTCTCAAGCAGATCTCTGGAAAACATAACCCAGCATTAATGTTCATGCTATATTTGGACCTCTAAAGACCGTGGAAAAAAAGATCTATTGCCATTACATCAGCACCATCACCCTCCACCGTCCCCCTTTGCACAGGAAATTGTCCCACTCCCCGGTCCTAGTTCTGTACCTGTGGGTCAGCTAACCGTGAGATATCAGGGTAAAGATAAAACTTGATGCCTTCTGCAGCTCCAGGCAAGGTCACACCACGGATGAGTAGAACAAGGAGCATGATGAATGGGAACGTGGCAGTGATGTACACTACCTGGAAATAAAAACCATAAAAGGTATGTTTAGTATGTTGCAGTTAACACTACACCTCCTGAATCAGAAGTGATTTAGTGATGGGAATTCATAACTAAAAAGGACCTGGCCTGAGTCTGTGTCTACTTCTAGATTAGTAGTCTTTACCTCCTCCTTGCTTTAGGCCTGGAGGCAATGCAGGTTCATTAATCCCTCCAGAGCCCCTGGGCAGCGGTCACATCACTCGTGCAGAGAACACGCAGGATTCATACAACTCGTGACTTTTAATCAGGAATTCTGCCTTTGCCCTGTTTGTCCTCCTCACATGACAAGTGCACCTCTGCCAGGGAAGCTGGAGATATTTCCTCACTGAGGGTGCATGGAGCATTACCTCATTCTTTATTTGAACTTAAAAACTGCAGGGTGTTTTGCAAGCTCTGCTGCTACCTCTGACCTCGCTGTGCAGCCTCCTCACTACTACTCCTACAGGCAGCCTCACAAGGCACTTCATTCAGAGATGAAGATAATCTGGTCTGTGCTCCTGTGTCTCCCTTCCCATCCCCTTGAAAACATGAAGCCCTTCAGGTTGGCAATAGCCTCAAAAATGGTAATTTCCAGTCCTATAACTTCATTCTTGCCCTTGCTGCCTATTCAGCAACATCATTATTGGAAACTAAGGCTCTATTCATCCAGTTTGAGAATACGTCTTCATTATCTTTAACCTCTATTCCCACTCTCTTTTGAATAACAGCCTCCTTCTTCTCTTCTTGTTATCTTCTCATTCATTTGATGAAAGACCCCTTTGCTTTAATCTCCAGCACGAGGGTTAATTGAACCTGCATTTGGATAGTTCTATCTTTAGAGCCCCACGCTTTCCAACCTCTAACTGCTTTCTTTGCTCATCAGTGCTTCCCCTCATTTCTTACCTAACTGCTGTGTGACACTCGACAATCACTATTGTCCAAGAAAGGGCATTTTTCATGGAGTCAGATGATTCCCCCAGGTAATTACAGTTGGCTGCCATGAGTTAAAATGTATTTTCCTTTTCCAGAATTTGTTTAACTACAGCAGAGCTCCCAGGATGCTCCATTTTTCTTCTTAAGTGTGTCCTCTGGGACTAACGAGGACAACTCAAAGCCTGCATTGCCAGAGTAACTCACAGAGCTGGACTGGTTTCATAAAATGAAAGGAAATCTTTTCCTCCATTCCCTCCTTCAATTTTCTGTGTATTTTTCACTGACAAACAACACAGATTACACATTAGCCCAGTTTCAGCAAAACCAGAAGGATAAAAGGGGGATTTCTGTGCTTTATATTGTTTTCAAATCGAAGTTTTCTTACAAAACCAATATATGCCTTGACATATTTACAGGAACTGAGTAAACCACACTTGGAAAGCAGCCTTTGGTCTGCAGGTAAAGATTCTCTTGGAACACTGGAGGAATTTTAAAGCACATCATCCAAAGCATAAGCACAACTATTTCTCCTGATTTCATGTTTATTTGCCCAATATGCCACTACAAGATTTAAAAACTATGTCATCTTTTTTCCCCCTGCTCTCCAAAGAGCCATTAACATGCTGGGAAGCAGGGAAGTGCTATAAACAACCATCCACTAAAGTAAACAAGACTTCTCAAATAATTCAAATCCTCCATTAGAGTTTGCGGTTTGCCCCCAAAGTTAATGGAGTCAACCGGACTCCCAATGGTTTTGTGGGGCTTTGGCTCCCCACCCACACGAGCTCAGATGTTGCAGCAAATTCCTACTAACCATCCTCTCTTAGACGTGAAACCATTTTGCTGGATTTCCACAAAACACCAAGTTTTAGATAACTCATTTTAACAGGACTGTTTTCAACCTGTTTCCTTCTCAATGCCTTGAAATCGTGTACCATAGGGAGATTGGAAACATCTCTCAGTACTACCATAACCTCCACCAAGCAGACACCAGGCTCGCCAAAGGTACTGCAGCAATGAGATTTATTGTGTTCACCTTCACTATAGAACTTCTACCATCACCTCATCGGGTCACATCAATCAGAGGCAACAGAGAAGCAAATATTTTTATCAATCTCTAGGTATGGAAGCTGTTCTTTGGGGCAAAGCTGGTGGGAATCCAGGGTAAGGCGCCAGCATGATTTTAATGAGGCTCTGTGATAAAAATCACCAAAAGCAAGACAGGAATGACAATAAAGCAAGTAGTTTAGTCAACAGTGAGACTAATGAGGCCTGGTTTCCTACAGAGTTTTGTCTCCTAGTTGATTCTGCAGTGTATAACAAGGTAGAACTGCTAAATTACGCTTTTTCCACAGTTGAGGCTTTGGCAATTGCTCATCCTCCTGACTTCTACAGGGGCTGATACAAGACGGGTTCACATTGTGACCCTTTTCTGAGGTAGGACACTAATGGGGTCACTCCCTTCCACCCAGCTGACAAGAAATGGGTGGGAACTTAGTTGAGACCTCTCTACCTCTGCTAGACTCATCTGAAATGCTGCCTCAACCAACAGGTTTGAAAGCTGAGAGCCATGCGTATGCAACGGCTTCTAAAGCCTTTTCTCATTAAAATAGGTTTAAAACCGCTACTGTATGCAAGGGGCAGTAATACCATGCTTCACGCTGATCACAGAATCATGGAATAGTTAGGGTTGGAAAGGACCTTAAGATCATCTAGTTCCAACCCCCCTGCCATGAGCAGGGACACCACACACTAAACTATGTCGCCCAAGGCTCTGTCCAGCCTGGCCTTGAACACCTCCAGGGTTGGAGCGTTCACAACTTCCTTGGGCAACCTATTCCAGTGCCTCACCACCCTCACTGTGAAGAACTTCTTCCTTAGACCTAAATGGCCAGTATTTGCTGTAATTTGCTTCCTGCACTGGAGTAGGATGAGGTTCAGGGATGATTTGTTATCCTTCAGAGGAAAACATCATTCTGAAGAGCGCACGATGAGAGCAAAACCACAAACTATGCAGAATCTCTGTTAAGAAGAGTGCTTCTAAACGAGTACCTAAGTTTAGTCTTCCGTGTCTACACAGAGCTCTTCTGTAAGGGAGTGGCATTCCAAAAATGCTATGCATCCACCCCTCTCCACTGACTTCAAACATCCCTACCACAGCTGTGTTGACATCCACCCTGCTGCACTGAGGATGAACTTGGCCGTGTGGGAGCGCAGGCAGAGAGTGCAGCACACCACACATCACCAGCCTAGGAGAGGTAAAGTGGTACTCGATCCGTGCTTGTGCCTGCTTCTTGATGCCACTTCAGTAATGGCTACTTGACTCACAGGCATGTTGGGCACTGGCAAGGACCTCTGAAAGTCAGCTGAAGCTGAATCCCTTTTATTCAGTGCAAAAACACATACTATTTTCCAGGAAACAGTGAACATCTTTAAGACCAGCATTACTCAGTATTCCTAACATCTAACTTCAACGACTACAAAAAGGTAAAAGAGCACTTACTTTCCCAGTGGACTTGACTCCTTTCCAAATGCAGAAGAAACATATCACCCAGACGAGGAGAAGACACAGGGCTAGATCCCACTTGATAATACCAATATCTTCAATTCCCGAGGACAAGCTCAGTACATTACGCCTGAATAATTAAAAGGAAACAAAACAAGAGAGATGGAGGAGCTCAGTTGATGCAGAATGTGGTTGTGATGGCTGAGAGCACAGGATGGTGTGGAGAGCAGCAGATGCATGGACAGATCCCTGTGCTTTGAACGCTGCCTGCTAAGTCAGCATGGCTTATGTGAGCAAAGCTGAGCTTTGCAGCCCTACATCTTCCCTAGGTCTGTGCTACTCTTTCATTCAATATATGGCACAGTATCTCATAGAATCCCAGACTGGTTTGGGTTGGAAGGGACCTTAAAGCTTGTCCAGTTCCAACCCCTGCCACGGGCAGGGACACCTTCCACTAGAGCAAGTTGCTCCAAGCCCCTGTGTCCAACCTGGCCTTGAACACTGCCAGGGATGGAACATTCACAACTTCCTCAGGCAACCTGTTCCAGGGCTCGCTACTTTTACAGTAAAGAATTTCACTTTCATTTTAAGTTGCTACCTAACAAATTGTTAATTAAACTTTATTTTCAGACAGCTATCAAAAATCAGCCCTTTTCCTTACCCTAAGCCACGGAGAGCAGAGACCACAGCAGCCTGGGCTGCTCTACCAAGCTCAGGCCCACAAGTGGCATGTGGATCCAGTACAAGACAAATCACTGTGGCTGCTTTTTCCTCAGAATTAATTACACTTTTTGGGGTTTTTGGGTTTTTTTTTGCTATTACCATGGAAATAATGGTGAATGAAGTCACCACTGGAAAATCCGTGGTTAGTTTTGGAAAATAACCAGCCCTGGACTCAAGCCCTCACCCATCTGGTTTTGCGTCTCCCTTTGCCAAATTCACTTGGGTTACCTGTGTGAATGTGTTCTCACTCCAAATGCTTTATTCCCTCTGAATGTGTGTGTATTTTGTTATGGAAAAGGACTAATGGCATCAGCCAGGGTAAGCCTGCTCTAATCAGCACAGCTATTCAACAGCCACAAGAAAACCCTCGGTAATGAATATTTGGCATAAACTTGCAGTCCTGGTTCACCTGAGCCTAAAGAAACAAGATAAAAACCTGCTGAGCATACACAAAAGAAGAAAATACATTTAGAAGATGACAAAGTTCAGCTCCAACCTTCTGTAGCTCTTTTAAAAATAAATGGCAGTTTTCCAAGGGGCAGTTCATATTTAAAAGGCAACCTATAGAGCCAGCTCTCAGGAAGCCAGGAATAATGAACTGCAAATGTGTTTTGGCATGGGGAGCTCTATCAATGCATTCAGGGAAGGCTTTGCTTTTTATTAGGGAACTACAAGCAAGTGGTCACCTCACCTGGAGTTTGGCCCAGTAATACTTTCAAGCTTTTTTGGAGGGCACCCAGTGGGTTACGGCAAGCCAGGTATGTGACTACACTGCGGTGCGGCAGCAAGCACACAAAGTGATGTGCTGGCTTTCTCTGTCCTAGGTTATCACAGAATGGTTTGGTTGGAAGGGACCTTCAAAGCTCATCTAGTTCAAGCCCTCTGCAATGAGCAGGAACATCTTCAACTAGATCAGGTTGCCCAGAACCACATCCAGCCTGGCCTTAGATGTCTCCAGGGATGGGGCAGCCACCACCTCTCTGGGCAACCTGTGCCAGTGTTTCACCACCTCATTGGAAAAAGTTTCTTCCTCACATCCAGCCTGAATCTCCCTCTTTTAGTTCAAAACCATCACCCCTCAACCTGTCACAACAGGCCCTGCCAAAAAGTCTCTGGCCATCTTTCTTATAGGCCCCTTTTAAGTACTCAAAGGCCACAATAAGGTCTCCCCAGAGTCGAGTCTTCTCCAGGCTGAACAAGTCCAGCTCTCTCAGCTTCTGTCCGCAGGAGAGGTGCCCGTGCCTCTGAGTGGTTCCCATCCCATCCCACAAAGACCTGCTACCTCAAGGAAGCAGCTCAGAATGACCAGGGCAGCCTCAGTGTTTGGTAAAACTGTTTCATGAAACCTGCTGTATTTCTGCAGCAGAAGCTCTCGACCTGGATCTGTGATACCCCAAAAGCTGCAGCTGAGGAGGCAGCACGAGCTGGGCTGTGCTGATAGCTCTGCAGCTCCGTTACACAACCCACTGTGCTCAGATTGAGCCGAGCCCACTCAGCTGACTTCACACCACCTATGCATGAAGTTGTTACTAATTCTCATTTAGAGTCTTGATGCTGTCAGTAACTGTCACTCGTGTATAATCAATGGGACAGCAGGCTGGGGCCAAGTTTGTTGTAAACATGAGTTCTTCAACCTTGTTCATACACTAGTATGTTCCAGAGATGTGCAACACGGAGATGTAACAGGAGCTGTAACTGGCTCTAGATAAACAAAAATAAAATGAGGAGAGTTATGCAATCCTTGAAGGATATTCCAGCTCATTTATCAAGCGAATGCAGACAGGACCTTTCGTACCAGGAAAGGCAAAGCACCCTTTCATGTTGGAAGGACAAGAATAACTAATGCCGAAGCAGTTCTACCACAAGGACAACATGAAATGATTTCTAAAACTCTCAAGTTTGCCCCCAAAAGCAGAGCGAGCTGCCCTAGATCTTGTTTACTTGTCGTGTTGCTCCCTCTGGGATTACATGCCATCAGCATGTGATGGTCTTTCTTGGGATTTGGACAAATGAAGTCCGCTGATTACTAAATATTTATCAACACTTGGCCAGCACCAGACAATCAGAGGTTTTGTTCAACCACAATTACCACATAACACTTATCCCTTGTGTATTAACACGTGTGTAAGCCTTTCAGGGTCTGGACTTTAAAATAAAACCTTCAGAAGTAAGACCTGAAGCATGTGATACCAAGAGGTAGGTCTCCTGATATAAAACCAGATTTGCTTAACACCCTTTTATTGCTGCTCAAGCAAGCATGTGATTTGCACAGAACATTAATTCAAATGAACCGAAATGTCAGGCTGCACCATACGTCCACCCAGGCTGAGGACATGTGTTATCCAACATGAAGACCTTAATGCATCAATGTGGTCAATTATATCTGGGCAGCATTAGCTTTACAAAGCAATCCTGATGAGGACACCACCTAAATGTCCCACAATAAAAATGGCACTGGGTTTCAGAAACCAAATACTCCCAACCCCCTGAATTAAATCAGAAGTAATTGTACCATGAACCAGGGGGATATCTTCAGTTAAAGACTCACTCTCGACCTGTCTTTCCAATGTAGGTAGCTGGCTGGCAACTGGTGCTGTACTTTGATGGCAGAGTACCTGAGATTAGTTTTAATTTCAGAACTCTAATGAATAGTAGCATGTCTGGGGAAAACCTGTGTAAGAGCTATGCTACTTTAAATACAACAGTGCTGCCTGATCTCTGTCCTTACTTTAAGACACCAGTAGTTGTTTATGCAGAGACAACAGCTATTTTTAATACTCCTGTAATGCCATGAGTCCTGAAGGCAGCTTGCTCTGTTAAGGGCAGTTTTGCTCATGATGAAACAGTGAGCTATGGACAGTGTATCTGTATCTGTATTAGGATAACGGAGCCAAACCTCTCCCTAGCATGAGTCCAAGGAAAGTCCAGTTCGTGATGTTTAACGCTGTTATTTGAGGACACAAGTTAAAGTGGCTGCAAAGTGCCAGCAGAGCCTCCACTAGCACTCATGGCTGAGCAACCTTTGCCCTGGCTCTGCTGCAGAACAGTGAGGCAGGAAGGAGGGAAGGGGAAGTGGTGTGAGCACCAAGGATCTGTCCTCCAGCCCTAACATGTCCCCATGGGGACATTGTTCCCCCAACCCATGACAGGTTGCTCTGCCATAAGGCCCCTCACCAGCTACCTGCTGTGTCACTACCCAGGGAAAGTTCTGGTGTCCCCCAAGCTCAACCTGGCCCATAAATCTGTGCATTATGGAGCAGAAGCTCCTGGAACAGTAAGACAACCCCATGGCCACATCAGGAGGCTGCTAAGATCAAGGCTGCTCCCTGGTGCAAAAGGACCTGTGAGCAAAGCTACTGCACAGAACTGGTGATGAACACTGTGCTTTTGGAGTCCTGGGACAGTAACTGTATTTCAGAGGCAGCACTGTGGGCCTGTGCTTCTTAGGGAGGCCTTGAGGAGACCTTTGAACATCTTCTCATGCCAGCCACTCATTTGGATTCAAGGCCCTCAGTCCCAAAGTCATCGCGGGAGAGTCTGAAGGAGTGGGAGTTCCTTCTCCTTCTTGCCTCTTAGTTGTCCTAAAATATCCAAAGGTACCATTTAACAAACTTCTTTCAACTTCCTCCATATTTACAAGGGAGGAAGTCACCTGGAAAAGTATCTGTCGCTCCACATGGAAACACAGTGCTCGTGACATGGTAAAAACAACTGCCCTTACAGCCTGCGTCCCGTCTCTCACACCGGTCACCAGCACCCTTTGCTCATGCAAGATCCAATCTGCCCTTTGTATTTTGGCTCTTGTGTTACAAATTTTACCACAGTTCATAAGATTCTTTTTTTTCTAAACCTCATGCGTGCCAAATAC